TAATGCAAAGAACAGGTTACAGAGAAATAAGAGAAAATTCATTGGATTTACAACAGCCAATGTTAATCTATATATAAATGGGTGTGTGTGTGTTCCAGCATAACTCTGGAATGCCTTGAGCAATTTCAACCAAATTTGGTACAGAGATGACTTACTCTCTGGAAACAAATACTGTGGGGGTAAGACACTCCTAACACCTTTGTGGTGTGTGTTCTGTTAAGATATAGCCTTAAAATGGTTTCTACCATACTGCCATAAAATGACTTCTACTGTACAGCGCAGTGGAATTGTCATGGCAACGGCTTCACAGTATTCCACAAGGGTTCTCCCTCTGGTAAGGGGAAAAATCCAACATTAGAAATTACATTTGGTCCAGGATTATTTTTGAGGACAAATGTATGGATTAGTATAAATAAATACCCGGGCTACATTATCAGCTATTATAGGATAAATATGGGAAGTCACCTTCAACTCCATAGAATAGGCACTTACCTGGCATGATGAACATGGAGACTCCTGGTAGGGGCAGGGAGGGGTGGGCGTGGCCAGCCAGGGATGGCATTTGGGGGTTTGCCGAACTGGACAGAATCCTAGCTAGATGATTGCCCAAACCCGTGCGAACCCCCAGCAGCCCACCCCTGGACATATGAAATAGGAGTTATCCTGATCACAAGGCAATTCTAGTCTCTCCATAGAATTCAGTGAAATCTACTAACAAGAACATGATAGATAACAAGCCCAACAGACAACTATAAGCATGTACAAGAATGCTGTAAGACACCCCAAAGAAGATACAAACTTTCCTGCATTTAAAGACAAGCGGCCCTCCCTGTAACACAGACCTACCTATACTTATCCCTGCGTTACTTTTCTCAAAACCAGGAGATGGTAATATATTTTCTATGTACCCAAACTGGGGAGGGGATGTTAAAACAAACTGTAAGTCATCTGCATTGGTGTCAAGATCAGTGGCGTACAAGTGTTTACTTGTGATAGTTGCTGAGGCACCTTCCTGCACAGCAAACACAAGTCCTGCAAAAAGAGAGAGAGAGAGGGAGAGAGAGGGAGAGAAGGAGACAGCAAGAAAGAAAGAGAGATGATTACTGTTATTTAAACATATTAAACCCCCATGGTATTTTAGGCTAAAAAATACAACTAGTAATTAATGAGGAAAATTTTCCTTCAACCACTTGGTACCATTGTTTTGCAGTCAGGCCAATGACTCTTCTTTCTCAGCAAGAGAAGAAGAAAGGAGGAAAAAAACACACTTGCAAAACAATTTTGCTGATCAGCTATTCAGAATGGCTTATGGGTTGCTCAAGATGGGTTGTTACCCTTGTTTGTCACAGCATTAATTGCCTGAAAGCTATTATGAATTGCTCATAATGAACCATTTTTCATGCATCAGTACTTAATTTCTCTGCTGGGACAATCCTTCATTTTCAGAACATTGCCTGGGTGACAAACAGCAAATCACGAATTTGCCCATACATGAGCTGTTGAAATGTGGTGTACTTGCATACAATACTGGCAAACCAGCTTTATTTTGCAAGATGTGGAACAGCAATAAAGAAATATTAATTAGGACCACTGCATAACACTAGAGCTTATTCTGGCAAATATAGTGGTAGTGTTTAAGACTCACATATAATTTCATTCACAAGAGAATTCATGTTTTTAAATGCAATTTCTCTTCAAAATCCAGTTAATATGGCCCAATATAAAAACTTTTAAAGAGAAACCCATGTGGAGAGATTGTCTTGAAATTTATAATTTATAATTAATGCCTAGTAAAGTTTAAAGGTAAAAGTAAAGGTTCCCCTTGCACATATGTGCTAGTTGTTCCTGACTCTAGGAGGCGGTGCTCATCTCTGTTTAAAAGCCGAAGAGCCAGCATTGTCCGAAGATGTCTCTGTGGTCATGTGGCCGGAATGACTAAATGCAGAAGGAGCATGGAACGCTGTTACCTTCCCACCAAAGGTAGTCCCTATTTTTCTTTTTTGCATTTTTACATGCTTTCGAACAGCTAGGTTGGCAGAAGCTGGGACAAGTAACGGGAGCTCACCTCGTTATGCGGCGCTAGGGATTTGAACCGCCAAACTGCCAACCTTTCTGATCGACAAGCTCAGCCTCTTAGCCACTGCGCTAATAAATAGGTATGTAATAAATGATTAATAAAAATAAAGCAATTATATATAATTCAGCTTTACCCT